GGGGGGGAATAGAAAATCCTGATTAGTCATCACTACAGCAAAATAGATCTCTGTGCTTTAACTGAAAGGAGACGAACAAAGCATGATGTGCTTGGAGTAAATTTTTATTTTTTCACTTCTGTGCTTTCAATTGTGGTTTTCCATTTCGTTCTACTGTGATTTTGGGCACTTTATTATTTATTTCCATTATGTATTTTAACAATAACTCCCTGAAGGTAAAAAACAATAAAAACATCTCAGGAAATGTTTGTTAATCATAAGTGAGATGATCCATGGATAGCAGCTACAAACAGAGAAACAACTATTGTGCTTGAAAAGTTGCAACGCTCATTTTAAAGGATCTAAAATGTAATAAAAAAAAAAAAAACAAGCATTGTTCCAACTTCTGACCTCATCAACAAGAAGTGAAAACATTCAACATACCAACATTTATTCAGAGATGATCATCTGTTGGGAGATCTTTTTGGGGGACTTCTTTTTCTGGAAATATCAGAAAGAAAAACAAAAACAATTATCAACTCAAATAAATAACGATACGATATATGAAATACAACGAGCAGGAAATAAAGTGTCTGTAAATCTGCTTCTAAAACTAAAATCAATCCTGCTCTTCAACCTTTGTAAAAAACATATTGTTCATGTTTTGTTCAACGCAGTCAAACACACACACGCGTGTGAATTAAACCTCTAATGAGAGTATCGTTCCTGAAAGTCAGATTTGTTTGTGTTTTGTTTCAGACGTGTTTCTCACCGTAGAAGAAGCCGGAGGAGTTTGTTCGTCTGCAGCCGGTTCCGTCTCTTCCAGTTTCTCCTTTAACCGGTTCCTCTCTGCAAATCAGTCACAAACCATGAACATCAGTTATGTGTGATCCACAAGAACAGCAAGACAATTTAATTCATGGATCCAAAACCACTCATTTGTGTCCACCAAGTGCTTCAGTTTGGTACTTCTTCATCTTAAATGTTGTTGACATTTCACAGCTTTCTTAATTGTTAAAAAACTAAAATGTGAAGATCACGTTTTACCACAAAATGCTGATGAGCACTTTCATTTCATTGACTCATCAATAAGTCAATTAAAGTTAACAATGAAGACAGAATTCATTCTAAAACGATGAACAATGAGAAAGTCTCACTCGTTTTCTTTGCAGGTCCGTCGTGGCTCACAGCGATGGGAGTTGAGCTCTCCGTTGTCTCCTCACCTTCAGTCTTCATCATCTTCTTCTTCTTCTTCTTGCTTTCCTTTGAAAGTGGAGTCGAGTCCATTTCAGGAGGCTCGGAGCTCACCGCACCGCTTTCATCCTCCGTCACTAATCTCTTCTTCTTCTTTGGCGGTTGATTTTCCTTTGAGGAGTTCTCTTCTTGGTCCGGGTTCACTTTAATCTTTTTCTTCTTCGTTGGTGTGTTGTCGTCGTTCTCCTGAGGAGGATCAGGTTGAGGTCTTTTGGCTGGTTTTGGTCGAGGCGTCTCCTCCACTGCCTCTTGGATCCCCTTTTGTCTGGAAGAATGAATCGTGTTCATTTCTCTGACAACAATATTTACAATACAGATATTTGGTAACTGCATATTTTATTGTCTTTTCTAAACATCAACTTTGTTAGATGTTGTACATTTTTACTGTCTGAATATTTTGTGTTAATATATATAATAATTGTTATGTTGATGTTATGCCATTTCCTTTTTAACACTGTAAACTTCCACTAAATACACATTATGTATTTCATATTGTAAATATGTTTTTAATAGTTTCTCCTACTTTTTCTATGTATGACCGAAAAAGCCTACATTTTTTAGTTTGTTTTACAATTCCATTGTTTTCCATATTGTTTGTTTAACTATTTAGGTACTGAAGTAAATTTCCAATCCCGTATTTCAATACATATTGCGGTTACTTCATTAAATCTATGTACATTTACAGCAGCTGACAAAGTATTAACAGCGTTCATGATGTGAAGAACAGACAGAAGCCAAAGAAAACCTCTACCGACTTCTTTCTGCCGTTGAGCTTCGGGCTTTCTGCAGTCGCTCCGGAAGCGACGCTGCTCTTCTCCTCCTCTTGTTGTTGTTTCATCATCCTACGTCTCTTCTTCCGGCTGAGTTTTATCCTGACACCGTGTCTCTTTTTGGTCGAGGAGAGCAGAGAGGAGTCTCCGTCTAAAAAGGAGTTAAGAAAGGGAAAATGTGCAAATCACATCATTTTCATAGCTTCCTCTTGGATGCACCATTTCTATCCGACACCTGGTGAATAAGTAACTAGAAGTATAAATATATATAGTAGCTTGAAATGGAAAGTACATAAAATTGTACTTGAGTATAGAACATAAATTGACGAATACTGATGATTAAAGGGTCGTCAGCGTTGAGACTTAATGTATTCAAGAGAAGGAGAGAAGTATGTCTGAAGTATATTTTCTGACTCTACCTGTGGCTTCCTTCTTTTCTGAGTCTTTGTCTCCCCCTGCTGGTCCTTTACCAGACTGCATCTCCTCCGGTGTCTTCTTTTTCTTCTTCTTCTTCTTTTTATCCTTCGTTGTCTGGGCTGGACTTGCAAGATTCTCCACCTTCTCCTCCACCTTACTCTTTTTAATTTTATTTTCTGAAGGAGTGACGGGAGTTCCCTCTTCGTTCTCTTCCGCTTCATCTTGCTCCTTTTTCCTTTTCTTAGTCTTCTTCTTCTCTGGTGAAGCGGCCTGAGACACGACGACCACCTCCTCCTCCTCCTCTTTCTTCTGATCTTTCTTTGCCGCCTCCTCGGCTCTCTTTTTGTCTCTCTTCTTCTTTTTGGCACTCTTGGTGGAAAGAGGAGCATCACTGGATGCATCTACGGTGGATGAGTCGGTGATCGGTGCATCTGCAGTCGGTGCCTCTTTGCTCTTCTTCTTCTTGAGAGTTTTAGCATCTTTGCAGGACTCTGGAGCCTCCTCGGGGAGAGGTTTGCTGGTTTCCTGCATGGTTGCGTCGCTGTCTTCGACTTCGATGTTGAGGATGATGGAGATATCCGGGTCTCCTTGCTCGTTTGCCGCCGTTGCCTTTTCTACAACAGAACAGAGAGACATGCAAAGAAAGAGACTTGTGACGAAAACAACAACAACAGAAACATGTCCAACCATGCAGGAATAGAAGATAAGAAATAAAACGGCACAATCCTTTGAGCTCTTTATTCCCCAAATGTTTCCAGATATCTTGACTTCAGTCATGTGACTTAGAGATCAACATAGTTTTGTATATTTTTACTAATAAAAATGTAATATTTACACCTGCTGGTTACTGACATTTAAAAATACATTTTAATAAAATAGAAAAATGCAATATTGTGAAATAATCTTAAGTAATAAATCTGCAATTTCAACTACAGGTAGTATTTAAATTAGTGCTATTAAGGGATTTGAGAATACTGTGTTTCATCATTCAAGGTTTAAGATAGAAAAAGGTTTTATTTGGTATTAAATAATGTCTTAAAAAGTTAGTTGTAATAGTTTGTTTTTGGTTTAGAGCACAAAGTGTTCGTTAGTTCACTTCCAAACCGACTGAAACCTACTAAACAACAATATCCAATATATAAAATCCATGTAAATAAATAAGACTTCTATTAATTAGATCAATATGTTGAAGTTCACTGCTACAACCTGCTGTAAACTATATTCAACATACTCCAGCTCTACTGTCTGTTACCAGTGTCGGTGACGGGGTCCTCCGGGGTTGTTGCCGTCTGTGTCTCGTCTTCAGGCTTCAGCGGGGAGCTGAGGTTCTGAGTGAACACACACACACACACACACACACACACAGTATTATTACCATTACAATTATTAATTATCACTCATTGTGTTTGTTTAGATTCCTAACAAGACTGTGCAGTTCTAGTTAAAAGGCCTAATAAAGTAATGGTTTATTGTACCTCAGGCGTCTCTTCCATATTTGGATTTTCAGAATCTGGTTCTGAAGAAAAGATGGAAAACATTTTGTCATTATATTGTGTTTATCTGATGTATTCTGTTGGTACTTCAGGTGAGTAAGAGGTTTTTACCCAACAAGACATTTAGAGACATACTGAAGAAGTTTAATCTTTAATCCGAACCACTAAAGAGCAGAAACAATGACAGTGAAGCTAACAAAGAGATGAGACCAAGTCAAATTTAAGGTGAGATTATAAAACAGAGTGAGCCAATTAAAAACTAATTCTCCCACCTCACCAAACTCCATTTTCAAATATAACATTTAAAACTTTTCTTCCCATCGGCACAGTACTTTTCTAAAAAGAAGAAATTGTCACATCATTATTTCATAACAGTGGTGACGAACACCAAATGTTGAGTTTTCATTAGAACAGAAATGTGACTGGTGTGTTAACCGCAAGCCACAATAACCACAGCGCACAAGGCCAACCTGCCTCCTAACTCACCACATGACCGGTGGCAGACCAGCTGTATTTTTAACAGTTATATTTCCACATTAGATTCTGTGTCAACAAACAAGAGACTCTGCAGCTCTGATGCCGATGTGTCCCGTTAAGCACGCCGAGGCTGATCGGGACGTCATCCGTTTTGCAGGTATTTGGTGATAAAACAAAGTATATGAAAGATGGAAATGTTTGGGCTGATGGTGACGCTGAAATTAATGGGAATGAAATTCATCATTGTTGATATATCTCACTAACAACAGGAACCGTCATGACGGTGGAGCACGGCTAATAAAAATCAATTTAAACGTCATTTAAACTGCTTGAGTTATTCTCTGAGTAAATGTTGCTTCTCTGAGTCTTGATATCTGAGCGCTCTCATCTCTTTATCGCTCTCAATCTCAGAAGCCGTTTTCACAGCAGACCTTTCCATTGTCGGGGCAACAAATGCACAGCTGGAACCAATTAACCGTTTCCCAATTACAGCAATTATTCCAATTCAACGCAGCGATTAGTGACGTTCCCACCGGTAGCTTGACAAGTCAAAATGTCTGCCGAGACAAAAAGGCTTCTGCCCTCAAGTCAGGAATTCATTTCAAACACTTAAAATGAGGCGACTGAGTTCCAGGTGTAATTCTCAGACTCGTCGTCACTCCGGTTTGCTTAACGAGCTCTGACAAGCTTAAAACACACACACACACACACACACACACACACACACCTGAGAGAAGTTGAATAAGTGACTGACGATGTGGAAAACTGCTCTGAGCAGAGCTGCCGGAGCGGTTTCTCTCGGCTTTGGCAGCGATCCTTCAAACTCTTTACAAGTGTTGACGTTCAGTCCACGTGCATGATGGTAAAATATTCAACTCTATGTTTTACTCTTTTCTGTTCCCTCGTTTCCCCTCAAATGAAATCAAATGATCCAAAAGTTCTGCATTTAAACAGCAAAAGACAAAGTGCTGCCAATACAAAGGAAATATAGTCCGTTTGTAGTGTTCTCGTTCAGTGTCGGAACTCTGATTTAAACACCGAGATAAACCAGTCAACGAACTTCCACCCTTTTTACTGTCACGCTGTTCCTTTAACATGTTGTGGTGAAAACTGAAAACACAAACATACATAGATCACTTGTACAACAAACATTCATGGCATTGTTCCGAACATATATACAAACCTATTTAAGTGACCCATCCAACCCATTAGTCAAGACATCTTTACCGATATAAAATGCCCACTGTGTCCAATGTCAAGTAGAGTAACTTACAGCATTGATCCTAGGATGCTTCCACGTGGATGCGAGCAGATTACTCCTCTGAGCATGCGGCTCTATTTTGTTTGACTACCAAAACCGGAAGTGGCAAACCCGGAAGTGATATCATGACGTGAACGGAAAAACAACATTACAATAACCATCTTTTCGTCTTGTAATGAGCATAAACAAACTAAACAAAGTAGAAAGATGCATGTAAAGGCAACACAGTTTCTTTTTAACTCCAAAATAAAATAGAAAAAAACAAATTAAATGACACTTTTACTGCATTTCAAGATCAGTGGATATCTTTTAAAGGTCTGTTCCAAATAAATCTAAACACACTTGCAGAATGCAGACCATAATGATCCACCATTGAGTCATGTATCATTTAAGTCAGTTTGAGTAAAAATGCCACGTTATGAGTCTTTGTCTTCTTTTATGGTTAAATTAATGTCTTAGTTTGGATTGAATCGGATTCGTAGAACAAACTATTGATTCATCTGGAAAATAATCTGCAGATTTATTTGCAGCCCTAAAACATTTATTCTAAAAACATACATTTATTTTTCTTAAATCCACAACCTGACTGTGACGGCCGCAAACTAGCCAAACCATCAACCAGGTTCTGTTTCACTGTTCTTTAAATCATGATGCGAGACATGAACACACCTGTTTTGACTGACTTTATATTTCTAGACTGAGTGCACGCAATCAGATAATATTAAGTTAAAGTTGATAAAAGTTAACTTTCCTGTCAGTGTTTTTGCAGCCAACCATCCTTCTGGCAAAATACTGAGCAGCTGCACCACACCTGGCAAAGTAGATCAGCCCGGCCAATTGGACCGTACCATTCTACAACAGCAAGAGGGGTGTTGTCAGGAGCCTTTACATCTGCACCACAGCGGAGGAATGTCTTCACACCCCTGCAATTAACTATGGACTGGCCAGCGTAGTATATATCATGCAGTTAGGAGATGGGGAGGAGCGACCCTTGTTCAGGAGAGCACCCACTATGTTCTGTTTCATTACGTTGTACTTAGACTTTAGTGCAATTATGATAAGTCTATATAGTTATTCAGATTTGTCACTTTGGCTTGATTTTGTTACCCATCTTAATTATTGTACATACTTTTCCCAGCTTCATGCGTACCCTGGTCTCTCACACTTACAATGACTTTAATGCATCAACAGGTAACAGCTGGACACTTGATACCGTCTTATTAAGCATTCTTCCTGTCTAGATTTTCATAATAAATGTAAAGACCGTCGTGTGGTCTTTTGTCAGCAGCTTTGAAAACTGCTGTAGAAAAGGAAAAGACCTCTGAGCCGTTTCTTCACAACAGCTTGTGATTCCTGTCAGTGCGGTGAGAAAAGATGCCACGCATAACGTAAAGAACAAGCCGGGTATCGAACGTCTCATTGGTTGTTCCTTACCTGCAGGGGGCGGGGCTTCGCTCTCTGCTGGCTGGTCATTGGTCACCTGCCAAGAGGAATCAACAAACACACAGTTTCTTTCTATTCATGACACAGATTGGATCCTTTCAGTCACTGTGAGCAACAAAAAGCTGTTGAGCAGCAGTTCATTCACTCCTGATTCAAACAACGTGGACATGAGCGCGAAAATGAGAACCAGAGAAGTGTGACCAACATGCTGCTCGTACGAGAGCACGTTGATAATCCGGATTCTTTGGCAATAATTACATCTTGTATAATTAGATTTTTGGGAAAGTAAACATCAAACAAAGGGTAAACGGGTTCTGTCCAAGATAAACATTAACAAATATGTAAATATCAACCGATTCTGCAGCGCTGCCGTCCTCCTCCTCTGAGACCTCATCTTGATTGACGGCTGTCTGTTCACATGCAGGCGTTTCATCCGTCGCCTGAGGAAAGAAAACAGAGCAGAGAAAGTAAAGATTAAATATGAAACGATACAGCTTCTCATTTTTTTAAATCTTTTTTTTACTGTAGGGTTAACAGGTATGGTGATATTCAACCCCAAACCTCCCCTGCCTGAATATTCTTAAAGACCTGATGACTCAGCAAAGAATAACTGCTCTCAGTGTTTCCTTCTGGAGGCTAAACAGCAGAAACAATGCCCCTCAGAGCGAGTCACAATCCTGTGCTTAATAGGTTTCAGATGTACAGAGAGTGAGCCGAGGGGGAAAAGAGGCTCGGAGGCCAGGAGTCAACAAACACTCCAGTTTCTACGAGTTGTGGTGGAAACTGATTAACATTTCTGCTCATTTCTATAGCAGGACGGAGAATATACAGAACAGAAAAGCAACTTTTAACTTTGACATCGTTACAGAAAAATTAGGAGTAATATCCTCTCCTGTCTGAGGGTAGCAAAAAGAAAATGCAGGCATTTAATAAACTATCAATACATGTGAATATTTTGGCAGCACTTTAAAGTAAAAGCAGGTTTGTTGGAAGACGGGTCTTTCACAATCACATGCTTTGGATTCAGCCTCGGGTCACTAACCTGCGTCAGCTCATCGTCGTCCTCTTTACGCTCCTGGTTGCTGTCGCTGGAGGCATCAGGGGCCACGAGCTGATCCTCAGCCTCATCAGAGGCAGCTGGTCCGGGCTCGACCTCCTCCTCAGAGTCGGAGCTGGAACTTCCTGCCTCGTTAGAGGCCTCAGCAGACACTTCGACGGGAGCTGACTGCAAAATATCAACAGGTGGGCGATTAGAAGACCATGAAAGGACCTTCAGTCTCTCAATACTTTCTGACTTCCCCACAATGCCTCGGGGTCATGGGCAGATTATGAGACAATGAGGCCCCAAGGCACAGACCTGCAAGAGGCCCCACCACCTCTCCACAGGACAGAGACTCGCACACTTTAGAATGGATTGCCCTCTTTTTGTAGTCGTTTTGAGTCTTTGTAGTCGTTTTGAGTCTCTTTGAGGTTGTTTTGAAGAATCAAAGAAACTAAAACCTCTGCTTTTAATTTAATTCTGCTCCGTAGAAACATCTTTATTATGTTGAAAGTAAAAGTGAAGTGTCGTGTCGCGTTGCTGTACTCGTCTGAGCGGAGAGAAAAATCTATTAAAAACTACAAATCTTCTGCTGTCAGACACAAACCAAAGTGACTGTGAGTTTGTAGACAGAACCACAGAGACATTAACACACAAGAGCATCATTCTGTCCAAACAGCATCATCTGCTGCATCACTGGTCCGACAGAAAAGAACACACACACACACACACACACACACACACTCTTGTAATAACAAACGAACACAAACTTACAGACGAGACGAGTAGACATGAAATGAGTCTGTGTGTATTTCAGCGTCATATAACAACACTGGAGCTACTGTCCATCTATCAGCACATTATTACAGTGACTGGACAACAGCTATGTGTATGTGTGTGTGTGTGTGTGCGCGTGTGTTATTGTGAGACAGACCAGAGAAAGACGGTGAAAGACAAGTTACTGTTTGAAACTTCCTTTTTTAGTTTCTCCATCATCATTTGTCATTAATTAGAGGATTGTTTCAGCAGATCGATCCTTTAATACCCTCAGAAGCCAGTCTGTACGCTCACAGGAAGCTAATTCATGCATGCAAATCATAAAAAAACATGATTTCTGATATATTGTATTATAAGCAAGAAAAAGAGAAGAAATCAAAGATTGATGTCACATATTTTTAGGGTGTGGATGAAGGGTGCTTGCTATCTTTCTACTTCTGCAGACACAACTACCCGTTTCTTTAAAAACTAAAGTGTGAAGGCATACCAGATTAGGGAGAAAAAGGGGAATCTCTCTCTTTCTCATCTGGTGGCTGCAGCTGAAGGTTTGATGCCCGAGATGGTTCAAGGATTCAAACTGGTGACCATCCAATCATAAGCCTGCTTCTGAATCTGTTGATTCTCGGATATATTTCGATTGGTTTTTTTTAGGATATGTTCATATCTGCCTCTCTTTGCTCACCTCTTGCTCTGTTGCTTCCTCGTCCTCTTTCTGTTCTTCTTCTTCTTCTTCTTCTTCACTGTCTGACTTCGTTGTTGTGGTTTCCTCTGCAGGATGCAGCAGCGGCGGCTCAGAGGCCGTGTCAGCGTCTGCCTCCTCACAGGGGAGCTCTGCAGTGGATGACTCGACACCATCTGTCCCGGACTCTGAAGCACGGGCACAAAATACATAATAGTTGTTCAGGAGTTATTGCTTAAAACGTATAAATTATAAATCTGATTACAACAACAACGTAACTAACGTACCAGGTAGAGGTTTGGCATCCACATTATTTTCCTCTGTGACGTTGGAGAGTTTAGTGTCTGCGCCTCCTTCTCCTTCTTCTTCTTCGCTGGTGGCAGGTTCTGGTTTGATGTTGTTGTTCTTCTTCACAGTAGTGAGGTCTTCCGTCTCCTGCTTGGCCTGCTGAGCCAGAGAGCAAAGCCTGCAACACGACACACATTACATTTTAAATACCTACGGTCCCGTAAACATATATACTAATTATAAGCATGTTTTTAGTATGTTTACAGTGGAAAAACAGGCAAAATAAATTCAAAGCAGACAGCGTGCAACCGTATACGCTTTGTTTTTGAGTGTGCCGTTATGTGATACTTTTTTCCCACAATGCAATGCACAAAGGAAATGGAGGATCTGCTCACAGCTGGAAACAATTAAGATAAATAGTGGAAGTTGGCTAAACAGCTCCAGAAAGATCTCAAAAAACAAATATAAGTTATCAATGTTAAGACTTTTTGCTTTATTTGTTTATCAAGTTTAACAACCACGCTTTATTAGTGTGTCGTACATGCTGTACAGAATCAGTGAGCAGTATGGATTCGGGACACAGCTCAAGCACTCGTCCGTCATTAATGTGTTTAGAAGTTTCTGACAGCTGACTGGGGACCGTGTAATGTGTTCGGGAGGAAATAAATTCCTGACGAGTGAAAACCCGTCAAAAGCTTTTATCTGCAGGAAGCTGACTGGGGACCATCGAGCAGCCAAGAAGTACAGATGTTTGTGAGAGTCATAATGTGAACAGCCAGAATACATCAGTGTGACAGGAGGAGATGTGTTTGTACATGACTGATGAGCAGAAGGAAGAATAAGCTCCTGAGAGTGAACTGATTTGCATAATTCTGCTTTGATTGAAGTATTGACCTTTACGACAGAGATGAGCACCGTCTTATCTTTGGGATCTCAGGGAAACAATATTTATCTAAAAACAGCTGTTGAGTTATAAACATGAGTTTGAGAGCTTTTCATTGACTGGATTCGTGTGACTTTAGTGCGAGATTCACGGCTGATGTCATCCGCTGCCTGTTTAATCCCTTCCAGGGCAGCGTGGATTTAAAATCCCAGAATGCACTGGGCCGAACGCCAGGCAGTCATTCACTCAGAGACACGCTAACAAACAGTGACATCCTGTTCACAGACAGCTAAGCTGCGTCTCTTTGGACGTCGCTACCTGCGACAATATACATACTGAGACAATATAGGTGATTAACGTGAATAAAAAAGGTCCACACTTCCTGTTTGACTTACTTAATCCAGCTGGTGTAGATATCATGGAGGCTGGAGCTCTCCTCCGGTGTCTCCACCTACACACACACACAGACAATATTCCTGTAACTCAACTGTGACGACATAGATAAAACAAAAAGAAGAGTTCAAAGAGAAACGTCAAATTTCCGGTGGTTCGGGAATGCTTCCACTTTGATGCCACAAGCTCCCGGAAATGAACTCATGCAGCAACATAGACGACAATATGAGAGAGAGAGAGAGAGAGAGAGAGAGAGAGAGGATAAAAAGATCAGACGGGGGAATGATGCGCAAACATAACATGGCCTCTGTGAGAGCATCAGAGGGATGGCAGGTTTGAATTTAGAGAATGTTTGAAAGAATAGTGTTGAGATTCTAGTCTTCCTAAAAGTCTGTCAGCAACTTTTAACGATATTTATACCTGAAACCTGAAACTTGTGACTGACAAAAGCTGTGTTCCTAATGTTAGACACAAGTAATAAGACATAAGTAATCTTTTTCTATGTAAGTTTAAGAGCAATAAAATAAAAGTAGCATTACTGAAAACATGCAGCGCAACACAGGTTTTAAGTTTAAATTGAAATTTTGCAGAGTTTATAGAATATACTGAAAAAAACCTTAATTATGCATTGTTTAGCTTTTGTTACTGACTTAATGTCTGTGGTTGCATCGTGACAATGTATATGTAATATGTACACTTTTGGGCTGCAACTAACAATTGTTATAATTGATTATAGCTGATTTATTAACATAATTTAGTTGTTATTAGGGTTTTTTTCTGCTCTATAACAGATAAAAAAAACAGATTTTCTCTTGTAAAACCAACATATAAGATATTCTGTTCGCAATGCTACAGATATCCACATTGTGGAAACTGATTCAAGCTGATTTTGTGAATTTTCTGCTAGAAAAATGACCGTAGCGATAGTGAATAGTTGTCGAGTCAATTACTGTAGACCAACTACCGGTAGTAGATTAGTCGACTAACCGTCGCAGGTCTCGAACATTTAACTAAAAACTAACAACTTTTATGGTTAAAGGCTCCATGGCTGTGAGGAGGCTCTGAATGGGGGTCAGTGTGCAGAAGCAGGCCTGCAGCACCCTTGCTTTTACAGCCATGCAGCTGCTGAAACATAATGTTCTTTTCCTCCAGGAGGCCAGAAGGAGGAGCAGACACGTGCTTTTATACACGAAGCTGAGCAGCAATGTACTGACAGCACATGAAAAACACATTCATATTTAATTCTGCTGTCTTATAAAACATGCAAGAGACGCAAGAAATGTCAAATAAAAACCATCAATATGACCAGAAAAACTAAAGTTAGCGAGGTAGAATGAAGTCTGGTCGGTTTTAAACTACATCAGGCTGTAATGTGTTCATAATTAGACTCAGACTTGTTACCTGCGCGACGTGTTTCTGCAGCACCTTTGCAGCTTTCTGGTATCCGTTCACCTTCAGGTGCTGGAAGATCAAGAGCAGCAGAGCGGCGTCCTCCTCCGAAGCCATGCTGACCGTCTGGACCGACACACGAGGCTGGGAACCGGGACCGAAACCTGGAATATTATTGAGTTATTAACAGCTCAGTTCATGCACGCTATGCTGCGTGCAGCCATGAAAGCCGGTGACGACGCCCCCCTTGAAATGCAACATGGGAAACGGAGTTTTTATTGTGTTTGTGTGTATTTTTTAAAGGGCTGCAAAAGCATCTTTTGAGATTAGACGCATTATTCACAAGAAGTTAAATCAATAAATGACTCGGAATAGAATTAGGCCTGAAATAATTATTACAGTTACAACATGAAAATAATACATTTTTACTGTATAATTTTCTATAAGGCTGGTATTAAAAATGATTAAAACTATTGAAAAACACGTTGAAATCAATTTCTCCTACATGAAAGCTAAACCCTCTTTAAATGACTTTAGTTTGTTAGTCATCCTCTCATCCATCCATCTCATTTCTCAGTTGTATGGTTTAATAAAAGGCTCTTAGCCTTTGCTAATGAAGCAAAACGCCATTTTCGATGTTAACATGGTCTGAATGTTTAGAGTTTGTTGATTATTTTTGTGTTATTCTTAACCTGTTCCTTATTGCTGGAGAATACACTTCTCATACAGAGGGTTACTTGAGCTTTTATTTCTTGATTAGTCTGACGTATTTCCGGTCTCCCGCTGGTTCGTCTCCGGTGACTTGACGCAGTTTTGCATCTGTACAGTTCGCTGCGTAAAGAGAGAAATTCCTGGTTTTCTCCGGAATGCCAGCTGGCTCTTAAACAGACCGCAGTCAGTCACCGTCCGGCTGATGTTCTGTCCGGGATCACACTGCCTCATGGAGGGGAGTCTGTTACGATGACAATCATCAATAAATACAATAAGAATAGTGTTAAAGTAGCGTACAGCCGTTTAAAGGAACGGTGTTAAAGGATTACTACAGTTTGTCTCTCTGTCAAGTTACACAAATAAAATGAAGACTAGCGGATGTTAAGCGTTTTAGCTTTAAAAATAAAACTATCACGATAGGAAAATGAAGTCAAGTTTTAAACACGGATAATTTACCATTTTATATCAATGGATGAGGCCAATTTTTACATTACTGTCATTACAAAGGATCACTAATAATTAGCTGAATTAGCTAGATTATATATTTTTATAATCTAGCAAAGCCTCAAATAATTCAAACATATAATAGAGAAGTAGCTAACCTGGAAACAACTAAATCTTTCCAGATAACTAATGTAACGCTGGCTTAGTTTCACACCAGCAGTAATGTGTCGTTGCAGCGTTTTAACGCCCTGTTCGACCGTTGGCCCCCTAGCCGTTAACCCTCTAGCCGTTTGACTAGCTATGCTAGTTAGCTAACTAGCTAGTGTGGTGACTAGCAATACTACGCTATTGGATAAGATGAGGGCAGTTCATTTTATTTCTTCACATATTTGCGGAAAGTAAACATTAATGCGAGATATGAATGAACGACTAAAGGTTGTTAACGGTCAAAGTTGGGAAGCTGCATAACGTTTTTTTTTATTTTATTATATTGTCGGTGGGATGGAACTGTCATTTAAAACCAGATTATTCATAATAAAAACTACCCCTCTCCTGGTCATTGCATATTTTCTCGCTGCTTTGTGTTTTATTTTGGCAGGTCAGACCGGAAGTGTTGGCGCTGCAGCTGCGTTGTCTTGACTTTGATCGTATTTCATTGGGAGTGTGTGGACGCTCCGACTCGAAGGAAGAAAGGTTTCGTGGAAAATTGAGGATATGCGGCGTCTTCTGCAAACTTTAAACTCCAAAACCAAACTGTGTGCGAGCTGAAGAAGGACCCGGAGTGTGAAGAATGGACTGAAGAGTAGCGGAGAGGAGGAGAGGAGGAGGAGGAGGAGAAGAGCCATTCACTTCCATTGATCCAATATCGAGGTATTGATTTAATTTGAAGGCCTGGCTTTCTGACCTGTGATGACCTTATTTAGAATTATTGTAATTCTAAATAAGGTTAATATGAAACTATACAGGCTGCAGATTTCAGCAAAAACTAATTTAATGCATGACCAGACTTCCACAGTCTGAACTTGTCACAGGAAAGAAGTTCATGTACAGCATGTGTGTGTGTGTGTGTGTGTGTGTGTGTGTGTGTGTGTGTGTGTGTACCATGGGAAACCAGTTCAGGCCTCAGTAAAGGAGTAAGGTTGGACTGAGACAGCATGCTTTTTAGTGCAGGTCTTGCAGATGAAATCTTCATGCTTTGGTAGTTTGTAAACATGTCATAGAGGATACAGATGTGTATACAATCTGTTTTCCCCCTCTTCCTTCCTCCCTGCATGTTAAACTGAGAAAATGAAGGTTTTAGGGCCGTAAAAACAACCTGTAAAATCAACCCACCAAACCTCCGCTGAGAGGACTACAGCTGTGTTTTTAAAGGATGAACAACCGTTTCTTCTCCAAAGAAGCGCCATCGCCGTCTGGCAGCTTTCCTGCATGTAGTGCTCACTGACGGTGATTCAGCCTCCTCAATAAATCACACTCCACCTCTGTCACGACTTGTGTTTATTGGGAATGTGGATTCATCGTCTGAGCGTCTCTTAAAAACAGGCAGAAGGTCCCACTATGACTAAGACGCTTAAAGTTTACTACGAGATTTACTTTGTTGTAAATAAGTAGGTAACGTTTTTTATATACAGTTTATATAAGTGTGGGAACATGAATGACATCACGGAAAGGTTAGTTTTAGGACAATAGTTTCTTTGAGAACAGGAGCGTTGTGATATACAGATATTGGTGATAACCGTGACATTTAGTAATAACATATTTATATCATGTTAATAACACACGTGATAGTATCGCGTGAATGATCCAGCGCCTCTTAAATCATTTTAAAATTAAAGTTATGGTTACAGATTCTCTCTCCATCTCCCTTCAAATTACAAACTCCCACATATTTTGATATTTTTCTGTTCCTTTAATATTGCAAATCAACGAGCAGGACTTCTTTATTCCTATATTGGATTTCTACACGATTTTAAATTAATTCAATTCCTGAATATGTCACTTCATTTGCAGCATTACGCAATCATTTCTACAGCTGTTGCTCGTTTTTCAGGACAAAAAGACGTCATCATGACATATCTGATATCATATATATATATAAGAGGAGCGATAAAACACAGCAGGAAATGGCTAAAGAATAGTGAGAGTCACATTCAAACTGCTCTGTTTCTGCTCTTATCGGGTTTTTATTGGTTTTATTCGGTTCCAGAGACGGAACGGTTAAAAACAAAACGACCTCCTCAGAGGTTTGGAGCTCTCTCTCCTCCAGATGGATGTTTCAGATCAAAGTTTACAGCCGATGTTGGCGAGTCCATCTCAAATGTGGTTTCCTGATCTACAAGTTAGTCCACAAGATGTCATGCGCGTGTGAATTTGTGCTGACTGAAACATTTGTAAAGCTCTTCTTCGCTGGTGTTTTTGTTGGTGGAGGTTCTCTCTCTATTGTTGCGTTGTCATTGGTTTTTTTTTGTTCCCGGCAGTAAAGATGCAGACTGTGGCTCTCACCGTGCTGAGTGTTCTCCTCAGCCTGGACTGTCTGTCTGCTCACCGGGCCGAACAGAACCAGACCCAGAACCAGACCCAAAACCAAAACCAGAACCAGAACCAGAACCAGAACCAGACCCAGAACCAGAGCCAGAACCAGAGCCAGAGTGACAGAAACACTCACAGTGATGAGTCAGAGCCGAAGAAGAAGAACCAGCCGCACATCATCTTCATCCTCACGGACGACCAGGTCTGTGTGTGTGTGTGTGTGTGTGTGTGTGAATGTGAATGTGTGTGTGTGTGTGGGCATGTGTGTGTGTGTGTGTGAAGCATTAAAACCGTCCATGTTTAAGTTGATTTAGTCTCTACGATGGATGAGCCGTATGTTCTGTAAACCCTCCGTGACCTGAGACATTTAAGCGTGACTCTGTCGTGACTCTCAGGGCTTCAACGACATCGGCTACCACAACCCGACCATCAAGACTCCCACTCTGGACAAGCTGGCGGCGGAGGGCGTGACGCTGGAGAACTACTACGTTCAGCCCATCTGCACGCCGTCGCGCAGCCAGCTCATCACCGGCAGGTAGGCACACGCTGTACGGGGGTCCGGCATGACAAGATACGGTAGCACAGGCTAAAGAAGAATTGAAGATTGATAGATTAAACTGACAGAAAGAAACTCAACTTAAAGCTCTCTCAGCAGTGAGGATGAACTAGTCTCTGGTCCTACAGCAGACCGTGTGTGAGCAGTTCATCTGGTAGAAAGCCAACAACACCTGTGTGTGTTTGTTTCCTTGTCTTCCAGATATCAGATCCACACAGGACTCCAACACTCCATCATCAGACCCAGCCAGCCGAGCTGTCTGCCGGCACACATGGACACGCTGCCCGAGAGGCTCCGCGAGGCCGGCTACGCCACTCACATGGTCGGCAAGTGGCACCTGGGCTTCTACAGGTGAGGTGGAGACTTTCCCAGGTGGATGGATGTGACTGTTAGTAGAAGTGTTTTGATGAGTTTCCTGTTTTGTTTACACTGCGGTCACATTCCCGCCATTGAGTTCACTCTATTCCTCCGATCTCTGATTGTGATACACAAAGAAATGTGTATCACAACGACCGGCAGGCGAACAAACGTGGATGTAAACACTTTTAAAAGAATCTGCTTTGCAAACGTTTTAAGTTGTGTTTAAGCTGCTTTTGTAGACCAGAAATCTGATGCTCAGTTTACTTTGTTTCCTCCAGGAAGGCGTGTCTGCCCACCAGAAAGGGTTTTGACAGTTTCTTTGGTTCTTTAACAGGAAGTGTGGATTACTACAGGTAAAAGTGCATCATTATTAACTTTTTTGTCATTTTAATTTAACATTTTTTTCATTTATTTATTTTTAAATGTATATTTTTTTAATTTATTAATATTTATTATATTTATTACTATTTATTACCATTTTGTAATATTTTGTAATATTTAAAAAAAAAAATAATAATAATATTTTTATTCATTTTTTTATTATTGAACTAACCTTAATTCGTTGTCTGTGTTTTTTCCACTACCCGTGTCGATAACTCACACGTGTCTCCGTCTGTCCACAGTTACGGGTCCTGTGACGGCCCGGGGTTGTGTGGGTACGACCTCCACGAGGACGAGGACGTGGCCTGGGGCCAGGAAGGAAAGTACTCCACCACGCTCTTCACCCAGAGAGCTCGGAAGATCCTCGAGAGTCACGACCCCACGGACAAGCCGCTCTTCCTGCTGCTCTCCCTCCAGGTGTCACATCAGAAAGAAAATAATAAAAGACATCTATGAGAAACATCTCTGGAACATGATTTAAGTTTAAGCCCCTCAAAATGAAAAAAGATCAGAGAGAGAGAGAGAGAGAGAGAGAGAGAGAGAGAGAGAGAGAGAACTGTAGTTGCAGCCTGACATGTGTTTTGATGCTGCGTTAGTCTACGTCTGGTTTTGGGGAGTCAGAGATGTTGGAATAACAGCGAGACCACATTAAAGTCTGTGAGCATCAGAAACATATTCACAGACTGCTTGGTCAACATGGAGCTGAAACTATTCATTACTCAGAGGTTTAGAAGTGTTTAAACTCATAAGAGCGATGTTTGTTTTCTGTTGATATTTGTGGGCAGCCATGTTGTTTTGAGAAAATCTAGCTGACAAGGAACGGAAAAACAACGAGCTGTTTTATTTAAAATGTTCCCGAGTAGGGAGCACTAAGTTCCTACTTGAGCACCATGAGTAAGTGCTGAGGGGCATTCTGGGAAATGTAGGAAAAGACTCACTAAAGTAGAAGATGAAAGGTTGAAGAAAGCAGGTTAGCTGAACACAGTTTATATTAAATATCTACAGTCAAAATAAATGCTTTTCCCTTTAAATTAAAAATAGCTGATCTTATAATATTAATAGTTTTAACAAGAATTTAATCTTATAGGAGCTTGCTTTGTATATTTTACTTTGAAAAGCACCTTTTTTTATTTAAAATTATGAGTTTTAGTTTTTCAACTTTCTCCCATACATCTCATCTTCATCAGATTTCTCCTGAAACATTTGGTTATTTCACTGATTTAAATCATGGTAACTGCATGATATTATTATTGTTATAATAATTACTACTCCTGGTTTAGTTTGGTTTGTTGTATGTATGCATTATGTTGAGTTTTGCACCAATAAATAACATTAACCAGGTACAAATCAACAGAAATAGATAGAATGTAAACACATGTAAACACACAGTGTTCATTTTTACCTCCAGGCGGTTCACACTCCTCTGCAGACTCCCAAGTCCTACATCTACCCGTACCGCGACATGGTGAACGTCGCCAGGAGGAAGTTTGCCGCCATGGTGTCCACGGTGGACGAGGCGGTCCGAAACGTCACCTACGCTCTGAGGAAGCACGGATTCTACCGGAACAGCGTCATCATCTACTCCACCGACAACGGAGCCCAGCCCTTCACGGGAGGGAGCAACTGGCCCCTACGAGGCCGAAAGGTACAAATGACTTCTCGTATCTCGGACGTGGAGGTTTCGCTTATTAACGTGCGTACATTACCACACGTACAGTTCATGCTGACCTTAACAAGCTTACATGTCTGACAGTCTAAGTGACCACTATGCATAAGATAAACCCTTATCCTGGTGACTACGTGGCAAAGATCTAAGGATAGCAGAGTTTTATTTTTGGAATAATTCAGCAGTTGTTGCATGTGGTTATAGACTTTTAGTCCTTTTTAAAACATGTTTTTACAGTTGACTTGTGCCATATAAGGAGGAGTTCCATACCTATAAGCATGAGACGTTTAAAGTAACATTCATGGAACTTGTTTCCCCCAAAAACAAATGAATAACATCCTCAATACTCGATAAATACATACAACTCCTTTATAGAGTATTTGTAACATTTCCTTTATTTGATTTGCCTTTCAGTGACGGCTTCTTATCTTGGCTCAAATAAACTATTGTTAGTATTTCTACTATCCAGATGAAGTGTTGCTGAGATCTCTGCTAACTCTGAGGGCAGAGAGAGCTGTAACTAAACGTCCCGGCTGTGGTTTTTTAGGGTACGTATTGGGAAGGTGGCGTCCGTGGAGTGGCGTTCGTTCACAGCCCCCTGTTGAGACGCCGGAGACGGGTCTCCAAGGCCCTGGTGCACATCACCGACTGGTTCCCCACGCTGGTGGGTCTGGCCGGGGGAAACACCAGCGAGGTCAGTGGAACTCTTTTGGCTTTGTTGCCTGTAAGTTGCATGTTTGTCATCGAGGCCTTCTTTATTAACGTGTAAACACCGTGGAGAATGCACTCTCACCCAGTGCACTGATGACCATGTTATTGTGCCGTAAAACAGAGCAGATTTACAGACGTTTCTCACCGCGGCCGGCCACCCAGGCTCCTGACGCGAGGGGGCTCTTCAGAGTGTTTGGGATCAGCGTGTTTCCCCGATTGTCTCCCACTGATTTCACGTTCATGCATGAGTTTATTTGTCGTCACGGTTAGAGCTCTGTCTGCATTACGTCGTCCTCATTTTGGCCTCAGGCTGAACTCAAGTCTCAGGCTGCAGCGCTTCTGTAAAACTCTCTTCACTTATTATCTGGTAGATAAGAGTGCTCTTGACCTCTTATGATGAGTGGACTGTTTCTAATAGTTTAAGTTTAGAAATAAATTACTTGCTAAGTCAGTGCAGTCTGTGTTGAGCTCCCAGAGAGGTTTGTTGGCAAAGTGTGCAAGATGGTTTCCATCGCCAAAGCAGATGAACAAGGAGATTTTGGCTACTGTTTTGGCCTGTTTTGGAGATTTACTGTTATTCATTGCTGTGTGCTCATGAAGAGATCTGTCACGACTCTACATATGAATTCTTCTCTGTGATGTGAGTGTACTTGTTTCCCTCTCAGAGCTACGGTCTGGATGGTTTTGACGTCTGGCCGGCCATCAGTGAGGGGAGGGAGTCACCTCGTCAGGAGATCCTTCACAACATCGACCCTCTGCACAAACCTGCTGCTCAAACCACCGGCTGGGACGCCGGCACGCGCGCAGCCTCAGGTAACGACCACAATAAAACGTCAACAGTGACTTCAGTCGGAGTCAAAGTGGAAGGCTGACAATAGGGCTGCAACAAACGGTTATTTTCTAGATACAAAAGGTTAAAGACGTGTTAACTTTGTATCTGCAAACTTGTGTTTTCTTGAAAGGCCCAAAGAAGAAGAAGAAGAACCAGAAGAAGAAGAAGATCCAGAAGAAGAAGAAGATCCAGAAGAAGAAGAAGATCCAGAAGAAGAAGAAGATCCAGAAGAAGAAGAAGATCCAGAAGCTGAAACCAAAGCAGAAGTCAGCGTTCAGGTTGAAGACTACGAAGAAACCTCGGACGTTTTCCCATCATGCAGCTAAGCCTAAAATCAAACCTAAACCCAAGATTAAGCCCCTTCCAAAATCAAAACTCAAACCCAAACCCAGGACCAAAGTCCACCCTCAGAACAGGAGCCTGTCGCACCACAGTCCACGTCCTAAGTCCTACTCCAGCGGCGCTCCGCCAGTGTCAGGAATGTCTCGCCCGAGGTCTCAGATCCAATCACGTCTAAAGTCAAAATCCAGGCGGAACATATCCCAGAAACAGACCCTGTCACGGTCAAGACCGCCTCAACCAAAGTCCCAAACACAGCTCACATCACATCTCAGGAACCAGAACATGTCCCGGCCGACGTCACACCCAGCTGTGCGGCCGTCCGAGTCCCCGTGGGACGCTTCGGTCCAGGCTGCCATCAGAGTGGGCGACTGGAAGCTGCTAACAGGAGACCCGGGTCACGGAGACTGGGTCCCCCCGCAAGTACTGCAGCACATTTAGACCCCCACTTTAAGCTCTCCTGTTTCCAACTGATCATGACTAATTGCACATTTTGATCCTCAGGTGCTGCCCACTCTCCCCGGTCGCTGGTGGAACCTCGAACGTGCCGTCTTGCTGTTCCCCAAATCCTCCGCCCTGAAGAACGTCTGGTTGTTCAACATCACGGCCGACCCGTGCGAGCGTCGGGACCTGGCGGACCAGAGACCAGACGTGGTCCAGCGGCTGATGGCCCGACTTGCCTACTACAACCAGACGGCCGTGCCGGTTTATTTCCCGCCCGACGACCCTCTGGCCGACCCCAGCCAGCACGGCGGGGCCTGGGTGCCCTGGGTGGACGAAGAGGAGGACGAGGAGGGTAAATATCACGGAGTGTACAAGAAAGGCAGGAACAACAAGAAGAAGAGGAAGAAGCCGCGATGCCCGCTGTGCAAGCTGAAGTCCTTCTTCCTGAAGCTGAACACCGGGATGATGTCCAATCGGATCTGAGGGGTCGACTTGAAGCGATCGTGTCAAAGACTTTTAACATGTTTGTACGTCGTTACATCTTCGCTGTACTCAAAAAAAAAAGATAATTGTCAAGTTTTTTTTGCACAACATGGAGTCGGAGAGTCGCCCAGATCCTCTAATGCCAATAAGATCACAGACATGATCACTTCAGCTCGCCGCCATCTTCTCACGAGTGCCCGATATCTACTCTGAATGTGAAAAACAACAAAAGCTGATAAAAGTGCTGCACAGCGGTGAAAAAACAAACAATACAGTATATAAGAAGTCTCAGTATCAGTAGCTACCTCCATCAACGGCTCTGGAAAAAGCGTGTTTAATTCTACTTTTGCTCGATTTACCAGCCTGAGTAGCTTTTTTGTAGCGTGGTTCTGGTGTTGAGATGGCTGCAGAGGTGACCAGGTGGCAGTCATACGCAGAAAGATACTACTAAGTGCAGCAAAATGTTTGTTTTCTTTTATTTGTTTCCTTTAAATTCCAACCTGTTCTGATTATAAGGTGGTTTTCTTTACTGTGGCTTTTCTCCTGATTTATTATGTGAATCTATAAATTGCGTGTCCTCTGTTTCCTCGTTATTTCTTCTTTTTTTAATCGTCAATCAAACCGACAGAGTTCTTGACTCGAGAGCCGCCGCGTGCGGCAGTAAGATGTATTTTTACACTGTAACTGATTTATGTTTCTTTAACTTTGAGCAGAAAGAAAAGAGACTCTGAATCTGTGACGCAGGTTTTAACAGATCGAACTTAAACATCCCAGATTTAGGTTTCCAAGCAAACTATTTACTTTTCACAGTGGAACTGCACGAGTGTGATGATTGTTTCTGTAATCGTGTAACTGTTCTTTCTTTGTGGTCTCTGTCATACGCAACATAATAGAACAAGGTTTTATGTTTTCACATTTTTAGTCACGTCGCAGTGAATACAGATATGTTTTTGAGTAATTGTTGTTGTTTTCTTTGTGTTGTGTCTGAAACAGGCCTCTGGATTGTGAGGCTGCTTGAATGTAGAGCCGACTGCAAGTCTATGAATTAACAGAATGTGTTTTTAATTCACTACGTTCTGCTGTGAGCAGCAGAAAGCGTCTCTTCAGCATGTTATTTCACAACTTATTCAGCCCCATAAAGGCCGAACTAAATATACATTTTTAAGCTTTTTCAAGACATCGAGTCCTAAACATCTTACAGGAGAGACATTTTTGAAAAGCAGTGTTTTATTTTTATTTTTATTAGATTAAACCAAATGTTTGGTAATTTCAACCATGTTTTTATTTGTTTTAAGCATTAATCAAATGAAAACAATGTTTATATCGCTCTGGTGTTATTGTTCCCACTGATATCTGTGTAATGATCTCTTCTTCTAATGAAAACAAGATGAACCGGTTGAACATAAAGTCGCTCACATGTAGAAGTCCTAATATCTCGTGCATTCAGAACACAGACAGGAAGTGAAACGTGTTACAGCAGAAGTTTTACCAGCATTAGAAACCTCTTTGAAGTAAGATGCTGGTTTCCTTCCCTCGAGCAGGACACCTAACCTCTAAATATTTCGGTGTATTTGCACAACATCTAACAAACCGCGACTGTGGAGCAGCAGAGAGCTCCTGAGAAACGCTTTAAGTGGACGCTTGATGTCTCCACCTTGAGTAAATAAAGGTGAACTAAAATGTGACGCTTGTGCTTTCATGTGTTCCAGAGACAGAACACCGTTCATCACAAACATACGTGATGTAATGTTTTAATGTCTCTTGGGTCAAGTCTTCTTTCATGTGTCTTTATCTTCAAACCTTTAACTACGTCTTCTCAGTGCACAGACCTAATAAATGAATATGAACATATGTTTGTACAATGTCTGTCTGTTACTATGTAATTCATATTTTTATTGCTTTGGGATTTTAACAGAGATAACGCAAGAACAAGTTAAATCTCAAGTCTCCACTTTGTGACTCAGCTCTGATCCAAACAAAGGATTGTTATTATTGTTCATGATAAATGTTTAATAGAAGATAAGGTGGAAGATAATTGTTTTGTTAGAAACGCAATGCACGCACCACGTTTAACCACTAGGTGGTGCCAGATATCAACAGTCCGTAGCGCGTTCTCTCTCTCACTCTCACTCTCTCACTCACACACACACACACACACACACACACACACACACACACACACACAGTTTTCAGGGGGAATACTTGAATCGGGAGTTTCTTTGATCCCGAACACAAATGGGATTATGTAATCCTCTGGGATTAAAATGTCCTGATTCTGGAGACTGTTTCGCTGCTGAGAAGCTGCTGGTTTGACGCCCGCACCAGCAAAAACCAGCGGTAGAGTGTAACTAAGTACATTTACTCAAGTACCGTACTGAAGTACAATCATGAAGTACTCTACGTGTGTGTTTCCTTTTTACTTCGCTGTGTACTTCTACTCCACAACATTTATTTTAAATCTTTAGTTACTTTGCATATTCAGATTATTAATACAAAATATAACTGTGTATAAATGTACTTTTATTTCAGTAAGATTTTGAACACAGGACTTTTATTTCTTGTAGTTTTGCTGCTTTTACTTCAGTGAAATATTTGAATATTCTTCCACCACATGAGCAAAACATAATGAAATGTATGCAGTTAGAAAAAGCTGACTCCAGGAACAGATATGAGCTAAATGTTCTAGCTATAAAATAAAGTTCACATCATCAACTCCACTCGAGGAAAACATCTAAATCTGTTTTTATCTAAATTAGACTACCAAGACAAAACAACCTTTATTTCAGGGTTTTCTGAAACAGACACAAACATCCTGACCTGTGTAAGGACATCCCATAATCCCTTTGTACCAAAGAAGAAGTAACCCAACAACACAAACACCTCTCATACATAAATAACACTCTAATATCACTCAGTCACGCTTTCTCTCCTCTCTCACACCTCAAATTAACAACTTTACAAATATCTCCGTCCGTCTCTCACACACACACACACACACACACACACACACACACACACACACACACGAGTTCTACAGAGCTGGAGCACGTGGGCGGCTGTGAAATTAGGATTCCCTCACCACGGACGGTTTCTGCTGACACAATCACAAACTCATAATTGAGTTCTGTTCTGTGGTCGCGTTGACACGAGTCTCGGTTTGTACTCTCCAATAAAAACAATTAAAAAGCACAATGTTCCCTTTGAATTATGAACGCTTCAAAACAGTAGAGAGCGACTTCAAGTTAGGGACGAAAGACACATTTACATTCCAGTCAGACCAGTCTGACATAAAGATACTACCCCCCCCCCCCCAGAGTTAACTTAAATTTACTTCTACAAAACCTCTATTTCATCTTTGGCCCCTCGTCCTCGGTCTCTTGACTCGTTTCACGAGATTTACTGTAATATTTACAGTACAATAAACGATCACTTCACAGGCTTTAACTTTGATATTTCACAATATTGTACTCAGAATCATATTGTAATGTCAATGCAGGGGGTATATTACTCAGGAAAGTTGAGCTGGAACTTCACGAAGCATTGAGGATTTATTTTACTGTAATTTAACAGAATACTGCTGTAGTAATCGGACACTGTAAAATCAGTTCAATGCAGTAATACTACAGCAATGTACTGCTATAAGACAAAATAAACACACACAAGTGAAATAGAACCCCTGTACAATATGTTTGTTTTTCTTAGATAGATATTTTTTATTCTTATATTCATTGTTTTACATTATTTCTATTATATATTTATTTTCTTTTTATGGAGCCTTTCAAGAGAAAGCATTCTGCACAATCGTACTTAAAAAAAACATCTAGAAAATATTACGGTAATTTATGATAACTGACAGTAAAGGTCACAGTGAACAGCTATCACTTTACTATAATCTACTGTAAAACAATGTCACAGTAACTTGATGTGACAGTACCCAGTCAGTCATTTTTTGAACAATATAATTGACTTTGGTGACGGTCAAACACCTTCCCGACGGTGGAGGTTTGGGGGTCTGCATTTGTAGATTTAGGAAACATTCAACTCTTTAATTTATAAGGAAAACCAGTGAATTGCATCTTTTCCATACCTGAAGATAAAGACAGGCAGGTATAATGTTCTTCTAAACGCCTGAACCTCAATGCTTCCTTTTTTATGTCCTCTTTCAGTTGTTGAACATCTGGGATGCATCTCCTCCCTCAAACTTTCATTACATATTCAAGGAGCCTGCTGTGCAAACATATTGATATTAATCACGCGTAGTTTTTCACTTTGGTGCTGCAACTTATTGTTAATCTCAGAAAACTTGAAAAAAAAACGATCTAATATACTTAAATGCATCTCCACAGATAGAGATGGATGCTTCAGTCTCGTCTTTGATTGCGCTCTTTAGAGAATAACGCGCTGAAAAGCACCAACAAAGTGTCCAAAAACTCCACAGAAAGAAGTTCAGACAGAAAGAAACGTCACAGAGCTGAACATAAAAAGAGCGTTTTCAGAATTATTTGAGGATTTTTTAACAAGTTTACAATTAGAAATGTTTACCAGTGTTGTAATATACATATATAATCCACTTATATAATATATGTGATTCTGAAACTGGACATTTTGCATAATGAGTACTTGTAATATATAGTACTTTAAGTATATTTTGATGCTTGATTTACCCTGGTATAAAGGTTATGTTTTTCTATCCGTGTGTTCATTCTCTTCAGTTTGTAAAAGAAAACTTCATAAATAAAGTATTACAATAAGAGTATTTGTACTTTGTGGTATTGTTATATTACTGAAGTACACAATTGGAATACTTCTTCCATGTTCACCTTCTCATTTTATTGGCTTCACAGTGAGCTCACATTTGCTAATTAGCACTTAATTGGTGAGACTGAAGCGTTGGACTAATTTAAATATTGAGGGCTTCGACTGATGATTATTCATAATATCCATTAATCTCCTGATTATTCTCTAGATTTATCGATTAATCGTTTAGTCTTTAAAAACGTTCATCCCAGTTTCTCAAAGTATGAGGTCATAAGTCTGTCCAAAAAGTGGGAGATGAAAAGTCATCAGGATTCATCTTCTGGGGACCAAGAATATCTGTTTGGTAAACTATCATGTGGTCGATCCAAGTCATCAAACCTATCGTGACGAGTTCAGTAAACTCAGTAAAAATGAGTACTAGGCTTTAGGCAGTCCGTCACTTTTATCTCTTAAACTGAAATAAACTTATTTTCAGTGTGAAACCTCTCGACTACTTTCGTCAGTATTTTATAATGTCTCTGCATTAATGTGTATGAACCTCTTACTGTGCAACACTGCGTCAAAGCTGCAGACAGACTCACTGCTTTCAGTCTATTAAACACAAACTTGTCCCGACAGCGACAACATTTCCTTTTCTATCTTTTCGGAATGTTATTCCAGTAACAGATCCAAACACGATCTCGTCTGACGCACGCTGAACACAGTCTCTCCTCCTGGGAGTCGGCTGCAGTCTGCTCATTTATTTTCCAGCTCTTATCGTGACTTTCCTCTTTCTCCTCCAACCGGAGAAGCAGAATTTGCATTTAAATGTCGTCTCTTATCCGTCCACTGTTTAGTGTGTACTTCTATGAATACGAGTCGCGGGTGAACAGCTACAGTGGTCGTGACCGGCCTTTTCTTTCACAATAAATTCATGTTTTTATTACACTTTCATGCTTTAATAGCCGACTACTGCAATGCAGCAGCGTGCAATGCAAGCTGGAGCCAGTGCACTCGTTAAAGTACTGAATCAGCTCGATGGCGAAACGAGCATTTCAGAAAACAAGACTTGTTTCATTGATCTCATTGACCTACAATCACTAAACCCTCTGATGAATTTATGCACATTAAAGACGCCTACACGGCTTAAAACAGAGCCCAGTTTGTTGCCAACTATCACCAGGTTAAGGCAATGAAACAGCGTGTTACAGCGTCAGCAACATAATCATTGAAAGGAGGCAACATCACAGAGTGTGTGTGTGCGTTACATCTGGAGACATTCAAGTCAAACTGCAGTAAACAGGAAGGCCTCGTGTATTCTATCTTGAGGGAAAACAAAGTGCAGCAGGATTTAGTCCTAAAAGAAGCGAGTCAGCACTTCTTGCACTTCTAGTTTCCTCATCTTGAAGTTATATACATTTAATGGGTTTTTGGTTAGATGCCTGGAAAAAGCTCTGTGGTTTACACAAGTTAATAACATATAGTATTTTTAAGTGGGGTTGATTAGTGTTTTACCTACAAAAAGTAACTCCATATCAGTTTAAGTACGTTATGTATTTAGAATATTTTCACCTCCTGTCAGAGAGCTTCTGACGGTGAAATGAAGAGGTCAACTACGCCGTCTTCAAAGCCTTTGACAAAAACAGTTTGCAGAAACATGTGGTCTGCTGGTGCAGCGCTGCCTACGCCGGTTAGTTCGGTAAAATTCACACCATAAAAATCAGAACGATCCCGTTAAACGTCGGGACTTCTTGAGAGCTGAATTACCCAAAAATAACGAGCCACCTCCGCCATTTTTAAAAGGATCTTTCCTGCTCACGCGCTGCCTTCACGGCCTTCGTTACCCGAACAGACGCACACGAAACAACGTATGGCTGACAGCCAACGCGTTTCACGGGGTTTGGTCGGCGGTTCTTCCCTCAGAGACCCAGCAGGCTGAGCTGGTTCCCTTCAGGACATTAAGAAAGACGAGACATGCTGCTGCGAACATAATGCCCTGGATTTTTATTTCATGACAATTCAAGAGGATTCTTCCCGTGTGTGTGTGTGTGTGTGTGTGAAGGGTCTACAAAAACAAAAGCTCATGAATCAACGGGGCCATTGGAGCGGGCATTGGGACTGTGGTACAGACAAAGAAAAACTACAAGTAGCCTTGTTCAGTACCAAACTCTTCACAGAAGAGACTTTTTTTTTTAAAGGTTTTTTCTTGTTTTTCCCCCAAATGAAGGCACCCGATGAGTGAGAGGCCTTTCAGCCTTCTGGAGAGTTCTTAAAAAGTAGAGAAAACCGTTCCTTCTTTTTCTCGGTTAATGTTTTCTTCCTTTTATGTAGAAGCTGGAATGATGTCAGTTACTGCATTTTTTTTATACTCCCTTCGTTGTTTTTTAAAGATCAACAAGTAACAAAAGAATGAAGTCTCTTTGTGAGGACAATTTACAGATACAAAAATATATTTTTAAAAATGATAGGGGGGGGTATCTTTGAGAAAATCAAACAAAAGCAGCATCAACCAATAAAGTAAATCATATAGTGCTTAGATGAGTCAGAAGCAGCAAGGTCTTCTGGGTAAGAGTCGTCATCGTCCCCGTTGTTTTGTCACTCGTCTCAGGAATATTAAACGTGTGGAAGAGCTTTGTGGAAACAGATTAACCGACAAACAGATCCACACCCGACGTCTTCTTCTTCTACCGCCTCCATCTGTGTGAACGCACGTCTCCACGGACTCAACACGACGCCCGACGAGCTCACGGCCATGTTCACAACATACAAAAAGAAATACAGAGTTGTGCCTTTTCTTTTTCTTTTGTAAGAATCTCTCTAAACACCGACTACAGCACGGGGAACCGGTGACAGTGTATAAAAAAAAAAAGAAAGAAAAAACGGATTTAAACGAAACATGAACGTAGAAATAAAGAAAGCTTTTTGTAAACACGGCACAATAAATAGATGCGACAGCAGCTCCGATGATGACATCACCGTGGTTCAACGCTCACACTTCACCAGTTCATCTCGTTCTCTCTTTTTAATTTTGATTTTTTTTTTTGTGTCGTTTTTGTTTTTCAATATCTCGAGTGCAAAACATCACAAATGAACAATTCTGTATTCAAGTAATGTTATATACAAGAACAAGGAGAGTGTGGGGGGGGGTATTACAAATATGCAGTACTGTACATATAATTGCCATATTAAGAATTTACATACAATCTCTTATTAACGGTAACAAATAGGGAAATGGGTTGAGAGGGGGAGGAAATAATAAATTTGTACGAGACGAGCATTGCAATTAAGTCCCAGAAGCCTTTGCTGTGCTCGTTCCGTCACCACTAACGGACGATGCATAGCACCTTAAAACAAAAACGATGGAGGCACCCCCCCCCCTCGTGCTGCGTACGGGAGGCTACGTGACCTCCATGGCCACTGTGTTCTCTGATAGACTGTTCAGTGCTGGCTTGTCTTGTTCGTGGTTCTCCCTGAGGGACAAGAAGAAGACAGAAAGACACACGGTCAGCTGTAAAGTAGTGAAAGAGGTTTCAGTAAAGTAGCTTCAGCGTTTCCCACTGCAGGGACTTGATCTGGAGCGTCTCGTAACCGGAACTCTGGAGAACCGTGTGAGGGGTTTGGATGTTCTGCATTAAAGAGGTCCTTTCCACTACTCGTTCATTGTGCAGCCATTACTTATACCGTTGTCTGCTTACTGTTTGAATGGCTGTACATGGAACATCTGTGCTTTTTGCTTTAAACTCATTGTCTGTCTCTTTGGCTCTTACAGACCGTCCTGGAACCGTGTACTTCCCTTAAATGAAGCTGAACGGTGTCATCTGTTGGGTAGATGATTTACTGTTTGTATTCTGTCTTTGTTGATGGTGGTAAACCAGTTCATAACATCAACAGCGCTGCCAGCAGTTCCTTAGAAAAAAGTACCGGGAACTTCTTTCAGTGAGCGGTGTCTGAAATTAAGTTCTCAAACAATTTGGCACAAGGAGAACACGTGACTAACGTTACATTTCCTCAAGTTCCTGCAGTGGAATAGAACTTTAGACACATTTTACTCTTTTGTCTACAGGTATAAGGCCTTTTCTCCAATAACAATAAAAAGAAAGAATAAACATTCTTTCATAATCTAATCAAAGGCTTAAAACAGCCTCTCTTGTTTTTGGAGTATCTCCAGCAGCTCGATATAGAGCTCAAGACATTCATCCAGACACGTCACCCTTCAACGTCCACACTCTGGTCGCCCGTTTCTCTCACCTGGGCACTTTGTCCAGCGGCGAGGCCGAGGGCGTGGCGTTCTTGGGTTTCTGACAGTTGGCGGTTGCGGTGGCCGCGTGGGCGAGCTTTAAGGCAGATGTCGACATGGCGGCGCTCAGCGTCCGGGGGGCGTGGACGCGCTTGCCCGTGGGAACACCCAGACGGAGGCTGTTGTTGTTTCCCAGCAGGACCTGAGTGGCGGCGGCGTTAGTGGTGGTTGTGTGGGCGGTGCCGTTGTTGTTACTGGTGGTGCAGGGGTGGAGCAAGGCGGGTGTCGGGGTGGAGGTGGGTGGAGCCAGGGAGGGGGACGCTGTGCTCGAGAGGTGCAAGCCCTTGTAGACACCTGGGGGTCAAAAGAGGCCGGGGGGGGGGGGGGATGGGGTTTAGAGATGGAAGGTTTGCATTATCAACTGTTCTTTGTTAGGTATTTTGTAAACCTGAAGTACTGAATATGCACCAACTTTATAAATGTGTATAACAGTATTAAACGACCTCCTGCGAGGCAGAAGGTCGTTTTAAGAGCTGGATTTATTCCTTTTCACCAGAATCACAAAGAAAAAGTAGCTATTCGAACAAATAATGATCATCTAAGTTTTATCTTTTTAAAGAGGATCCGTGGTCCTTCTTCATCTGCAGAATAATCTCAAATGGAAATGAAATTGTGTCACTTTTTTCCGTTATCTCGCCGTCGCTGGTGGTTTGTGGAGTTCAGCGCTGCAGGTTTGGTTCGGTCTGCTTCGTGCTGTTATCAGTGCAATGCATTATGGGTTTTTAGGACTCTCATTGTTTGCTTTGTCTGTTCAGTGTCACCGTAATGCAACACTTTGGTGAAGTGCACTTTACATTTTAATTGCTTTTAGTTTTTCTACTACTCTGCGGTTGCATTATTAAAAAACAACAACTATTTTCGTCGTTACAAATAATCTCAAACTTAACACTTTCGTGAGAAATAAAGACCATTATTAAATATAATGAGGATAATTACTCCAGCCGTTATTGTGACGGCATATTGTGGAGCTCCCATCATTCTCACAACAATTATTATTATAATTGTTGTTGTCGTTGAGTGTGACCCTCTGTCAACAACAAGAAGTCACTTTATTCACAGAAGACAAAAGGTTCTCGTCATCGAGTGAGAGCCTCCCTTTTCGAAGCTGAAGTGCGTCGTCGTACCTGAGGGGGAGAGGACGCCATTGACTCCGGCTCCCAGGGCTAGCTCCTCCTTGGTTTTGAGAGCCAGCAGCTTGTCGGCGGTGACGAGGGCCGAGGCGGCGAACTGAGCACCGGCCTGGTCCAACGTATTCGCTGGGCCCTGTGGTAGAGAAGAAGAATGTTAAAGTCCGTCTTCTGAGAGGAGACAGAACTGAGGGCAAAACGACCAGAACCGACCTTTGTGCTGTTTGTAGTGGTGGTGCTGTTGGCTTGCTGTTGCAGCTGGATCTGCTCCAGCTGCTGTTTCTGCATCAGGGCCAGCTGCTCCTGATGCTGCTGGTACTGTTCAGCTGTGAAAGCTGAGGGACACACAAAGAGTCTGTTACGCATCTGGAAATCAGAGTCACACTTTTAAAACATGTTTCACAGAAGACTCAGAGACAAATCTATGAATTGTTGCAGAGACAGTGTGCGTGTGTGATTTAGAGATGCAACCGCCTCTTATGTGCTGTGTTTGAATAAAATTAATTATTCTCAAGTACCCGACTACTTTTGGAAACAACTCTTGGGCTCAGAAACACGGCGGTCTCGTGGTGAAGGATCAGATCAATAAAACCATCTGTGGCTCTGAAACAGGACGAGCGATTCAAGTCCTCGGCCACACCTCCTGTAGCTTCTTCTAACTCAGCACCAGCTCTGTGTGAAACTCAGCACTGATGTACGATGTTGTTTGAGGCCACGGTTTCTCTCTTGGGGGGTAATAATGCAATATAAATCTGGTCATGAATATTTTTTTAGTGAATGAAGCCACATTTCATTGTGCAACCAGTGTCTCGTACTCCCCTGTAGGTCTGTACGATTCAGAGTCGACTTTGTGTTCCTTTCCTGACAATCCAAACATCCACTGGTTTCAATGATTTCAACTACAGCACCCCGTGGTTTCATAATGAACCTGCTGTGGAGATTCTACTCTGCGTGGGAGTCTCTCTTTGCTGGCTTTCTATTGATTATGAAGTCCTATTCACACATCTCTAGGTATTAACGTGGCCTTGTGCTTCAGTAAAATATAGATTGTATTCTTTCAGTTCTCCACTTCACAGCATCCAGGACTCATCATCCTCATCTGAAAGTCACAGCTCGTCCTCTGGCTCCATCTGGAACACCCTTCATGCTTCTTTCATTTAATCTGCCACCGTCTCGTTTTAATCAAAACACTCAACTTATTGATTCAGAAGCGCTTACGACGCAGACTTAACCGCTGCTGTAGTTTCTCTCAAAAAGCTCTTCATTACAACGGCGTCCTTCGGTTTCTTTTATGGTGCCGGCAAATATTCCATCAATACGCGGTTGTTTTCATCCACATCAAAAACATAAAACATCTCCTGTGAAGTGCTTGTAGCCGACATCGATGCCCTCACAGTGAAGCCGCCGGGGAGCTGTGGCATTTACTTTGTATTCAGCGCTGCGCGCCTCTTCGTCCACACACCGAGTCCTCTGCATCTCATGAATGCATTTATCAAACCACAGTTCTAACTGACACCTTGTGGACTGGGAGGGGGCGCGCTGTGAATGCAAAGCGACGGCTGCACCAGATGAAATACGCAGTAAATAAAAAACGTTCACAGCACAGCTGGAGGGTTATGACCGACACTCGTCCTGCAATTAAAGACACTCCCAGCAAACGAGGAGAACGTGATCGCCTCGATCGAGGTAAAACAGGAGAACGTGTCGGGTGAGCATACTGAATAGATTCATGGACAGTTGCTGAGGATTGTTAATCGCAATATAGACTTACTGCAATTCTCAAATCGCAGAGTGCGCAACATCCGTTCATGGTGAAACGTGTCAAAATACCATTTTTAATCACATATTAATATAAATAGTCGTGCTGCAGAGATGTCCTGGCTTACACGTCATATTAACGACTTAACAAAACATGTTTTTGATACAGTTCCCTGCAAAACACCACACCAATTGGATATGTTTTTTAAATGAAAATCAGAATGAGAATAATATTGCAAATTCAATATCAGTCAAAATAGTCACAATTTAAGATTTTGCTAAATTGTTCCGCGTTACTAAAGACTCTGAACGAGCAGACCTGTTCAGGGTCAGGTCAACTAAACACACCAAGAGCAGCATCGTGTCTACGGACAGTTCTGGTTTCATGTGCTCGGGTTTTGACAACACAATCAGGAGGAAATGGGATTTAATTTAATCTTATTCTAACGTCAAAAATGCCCAAAAGCAACTAGACTTTATCAACGGTTTTCATTGGGACTACTTTCTACAGGAAGAAGGATCCGTGTGAAAACTGATTAGGAAGCTGGCATTGGTAGACAAGTCGTGCGTAGTGGTGCGTTTGTGTCCCGTTCTTGTCAGTATACATTCATAATTAATCAAAGGAGAGATGTTGGTCTGACGACATGTGTGTGTTGGAAGGCAGCCGGTCCACCTACCGGCGACGGGCGGGGGTGCGGCGACGACCCTCACCGGCCGCTGAGAGCCGTACGGCTGACCTCCAGCTGTGGTGGAGGAGATCGGTCGCTTCAGGCCTCGACTCAACTTCCTGAATAGCGGGTGGGCGTTGTCCAGCTCGTGTAGTGGTAGTGTCCGTGGTCTAAAGTGCCTCCATCGGCACGACTTTATATTCAACAGTATCTGACTGAGGTCCGTGGAAGAGGGAGAGGAGTTGCGAGAGGAGGAACTTCTGTCCGAGGTATTTGTTTCTGAGGTTCTGGCAAACTTGTCGGTGGCCGGCGAGCGTGAAGTAGTTGTGGGAGGAGGAGGCGGCGAGGGGGGAGGAGGCGGGTCGAGCATTTCTGGGTCCAGTCCGTGGAAAACGTTGTCGTGGTCCGTGAAGGCCCTGTCCAGCAACACCCTGAGGGAGGAGGAGAGCGTCGGGTAACTAGCCTCATTCGTCTGGCATTTCAAAAGCCATCGATGAGCCACATATTCAACGAGGTTGAGCACGTGATCGAAAAAATACAGAGGATTGAACAGACCTGCCGCCTCGTCCCACGCGTCGCCGAGCCATGCCGAGGCAGTGCCGCGGCACGGTGAGCGTGGTGAGACTGTAGCGAAAACGAGCTTCTGCCAAACCGTCGTCCCAGGGTCCGCACCACGGCCAGCTGCCCACGCGGTCCTGACGAGTCTGGAGCAAAAGAGACTCGTTTCATTCTCACCGTCTGCGTACAAAACCTCGGATCTCTGACATCCGAAATCTGAGTCTAAAGTGTGAACTAAATGCCTTCAATATTGAGATTAACTTAAAATCTGTCTTCTGAATACTTTGCTGTTCTATAAACCACAATAATTAATATCTCCTGCAAGCTTTCACAGCATTTTATAAGACAACAACTCAACGTAGATAACTGTTCCCGTTATAACCAGAGCCTGTAAAGAGCATTTAAATGCATCTACAGCCTCGGGGCACCACTGCTGGGACATAACGACCCCTTAAACCCACCATCATGTCAAATTAAAGCTCCGACATGCTATTTATTAACTGTTTAAATACGTCGTGTGGATGACCACGGTACTCACAGCGTAGTACTGGCAGCCTGCCTTCCTGCGAAAGGCATAGGCACCGTCGGGGTCGTTCTCCTCCTCTGCTTCCGATGAGCCCGAGTGCAGCTGTGGACACACAAGAGGTTTAAAGGTCAGTGGAAGAGCAGAATTCATAACACTGAAGCCCCGCCCACTTGTCTTGTGCCGTTTCGCAATTTGGAGTGGATTCATCAGGACAACAAAGGGCAGAGTGCAGGTAGGCACGGAGTGGTGCTCGTACCTGGGAGAAGGGCTCGTCGTCCGAGCTCGGGAAGTCGTACTGGTTGAGGTCCTTGGCGTTGAAGACGACGGGACCCGGATGGTGGGGGGCGCCCGACGAGAGAGGCAACGCCTTCTGCTTCTTCTCGTACTTCCTCTTCTGTCGGGGAACTTCTGTCTTCTCGGGCTAAAAGGGGGAAAGAAGAGATAAGTCATAAGACTTTGGACCTCCTAAAAAGCACCCGTTAAAGAGACGACGGGCCATAATTAATGTTGAAAACATCTCTCTAAATATTCAATTTCAAAATGCATTACAAGTCAGCTGAAACATCCGTTTATAGTGGCTGAACATTCACATGAACTTGCCTGACACCAGGAGAGGAATAGTAAAAATACATAAATACAACAATGTGACTGACAAGAGTCCTCCTCTTATACAAATATAAATAACACTCTCTAATGTATACAGTCCAGTGTCAGAACCCTGATGTTAAAGCCGAGCCTCACCTTGCACTTGTAGTCCTTGAGGTCCATGTGGTCCTGGTGTCGGTACTGGTTCGTGACTGGGACCAGGGGAATGATCTGCGGCCTCACCAGCGCCCGCTCAGCCAACACCTCGGCCATGACCTCCCCGCTGTAGTCCGACATGACGTTTCTGCAACAGAAAGAAAAACATTTAGTTTAGTCGTTTTTCCTCCAATCAAGAGACTCAGGCTCATCAACCGTCTCCATGTTTCAAAGGCTCACCTCTTCTCAAAGATCTCCAGTGTGAGGTGCAGCAGCTCTCTCTTGCTCTTCTCCCTCCTCTTGATCATCTCCAGGATGGTGACAGCTCGGCTGAGATCCCTGCGCAGCTTCAGCATCTTCTCGTAGGACGCCTCGTCGTTCTTACGGTTCTGAGTGGTGAAGGAGGAAAATGGATGTAAGCAATACTGAAGAAGAACAGGCCATGTTTAAGCCATGAGGATTAGATGTAAAATGTAAAAAAAATAATAAAAAATAAAAAAAAAATAAAAAAATCACTTCATCTAATGCTGTGAGCCTCAGAAAACCGGCAGTTATTATAATACTTATGAAGTTTGCATTTCTTATTCATTTAAATATATTACATGTTAATTTATGTGCTTCAAATGTGAAAATTAACACCTGGCAGGTTTGTAACATTTGTTTGAATGAAAGCAAGCAGCTTATTAAGATCACAAAGTTAACACCGAGGCCAAAGTTCTTCAAATGACCACTTGGTGGCATAAACACCCTTCAGAAGAGAGCAGTCAGTGTTCAGCAGTGTAGTAACACTTATTTAAGAAGACTCCACATTAAAGTAATAGTTTGAGAAACGTTGCACCTCTTGAAATATAAAACTATCTGGTTAATTAGCAAGGATGGTGATATGGACAAAACCTATCACAGTTGTACAGTGAATATAGTAATGTGTAAGCGGTGATGTCGTAATATCCACCTTTGTATTTACAGTAATACAGTGAATTAACTGTAAGTTCAGTTAAATTGTTTTAAATAACTGTACTTTCTCACAATTGATCGTCTTGCATTTGGAACAATCATACAAACAAGAACAACTGCCTCACATAAGTCAACACTAAAAGTAAAAGTGGAAGAAACGATCACCGTTACAGGTCTGAGGATTAACAGGTGCAAATAAATAGCAGCCCGACTTGATGCAGTGCAATGTGACCAATGCTCTTATATTGTGCTGGTTGAGATGCCTCCTCTTGCTCTGCATTTACAGAGTGATTACTGCCCAAGATCACGTTACCTTGCAAAGTAAACAGATTTGTGATATCTCAACACCACGTGAGCATTAACACCGCGGTGGAAACTGTACCGTCACTGATTATACATCATGTCACCCAACCCTAGTTGGGAGAGAGTATTTGTTATCTGAAGTCATGGTCTGTTAAGTGACTGACGTCAGGGACTTCAGTGTGTTTCTCAATGAACCATAAGTTAATCAATCACCATCTCACAGAGAAGCTCGTTGAGCAGACAAATAGGGAAACATATCTGCTTTTCAGTTATTGTCAAGACCGACAGCATTAATGAGAGCTGTGCTGACACAATACGCTCTCAGTGAAGCTGGGATTGAACGTGGTTGTGGTGTCTGACAGCATTCCTCTTTTGTCAGCCCGTTGGGTTCAGTGACTGAGAACACAATCAACATAGTCGTGTACTTCACGGGTGAGGCCTGTGAGGCGTTTACAACACGTCAAAACCGGATCCAGCTTCACAAAAGACGGTGACACAGCAGAATGTTATCACTGAGAGAGGAAGCCCGTCAAACACGGGGAAATATTTCCAGGAACAAAGGTTTTTAAAAACGCATTATTCCCTCCACAGATGTGGTCACTAATAACACGTCCTGCTGCACAATGCAACGCCTAACGAGAGACATTTCAGCCTGAAACAAAACGAATCCAACCACCAACACGACGATCACAGACTGCCCATAAAGACCCTGAGCGTAAACACTACCCACCTTCCTGGTCTGCATCTTCTCGGTGCGCCGTCGGAAGGCCACGTAGGGATCGCTGGTGCTGGAGCCGTCCCGCTTCTCATGCTTGACGTTGGGGAGGAGACAGTTGGCCCGGCTGGTTTTCCTCTTGCGGCTCCAGTAGTCGAAGACCTCCTTGATGAGCTCGTCGTCCTCCTTCAGCAGCAGTTTGGCCTCCGGAAGGCTCACCGCCTGGAAGAAGAAGATACAGACGCGAGTTACATTTGTGATGAATAACTGACTGATCCGCTATTCCAACACTGTACCGCATGTTGCCATAAATGGGTTCAAACTTGTGCTACCAGCACACCGACCTGCTGTCCACTGCCTTTCTCCAGCCGGTCAATCATCTCCTCAAACTGCAGGAAGCTGATCTCCATCTTCTTCTTCAGCTTGTTGACAAACGCATCGTCTTCCGAGTCGAGGTCGTAGTCGGGCTGCTCTGTGTCCAAGCTGAAAGCTGCAGCGAGGAAAGGAAACGAGGAAGGATGAGGAGGAGTCTACGGGCTATGAAACACTGCAGATCTGTGACCAATGCAAAACCTAAGGTTGTAATCTGATTATAAAGAATAAAATAACTCAAGCACGTGTCTGTGTTCTTAAAATGCAATGCCACACTGGCCCGTTTCTTAAATTCCACTTTTGTAATCTCCATACTCAGGAAAGCATTTGGTGCAACCGCCCTCGTGTTCACTTTGAACTTCTTAAAAATCGACCATTTTGGTGTTGAGCTCATCCTGTGATCCAAAGTGACGGGACCTCTCCACTCTGTGCTGTGGAGCCGAAGTCGGCCTAATTGGTCTGGTAATGACTGAAGGCAGCGTTACAACGCAGAAATATATCAAAAACTAACTTTCTATGAACTTTAACTTTTACGTCTGTGTGCAGCCGACAGTGAATCTCATAAAACTCACAATTCACTGTCATGATTTAACAAGACATTTGGATTTTAAAAGATAAAAAGATGGTTCCTTCTCATACCGACAGTTACCGACTCTTTTATGTCAGATATACATAACATGTTTTCAGTGTCACATAACCGATGTGCAAAGAGAGACAATACATCCTCTCTACTCACCACTGAGCCCACCACAGCAGTCCACATCTACAATTCATCATCATTTAAGTCTTTTAATGACAGTTCTTAACACTGCTGTGTACCGAAGACCACAATCCATCAAACCCCGTCCTACACAACTAAACGAAACAAATCTAGGAGTAAGATTTAAACATAAACTTACAGATATTGACCAGATTGTCCCACTACTACACACAATGAGACACAGAGAATAAATGTGCATTTCTAATTAGCTTAATGTGCAGCCTGAACCCAGTGATTTAAACACTGCACCATATTACAAACTGCACAAATGCTTTAAAAATTAACTAAAAAAACAGCTGCAGCAGCCGAGAGAAACTCAGGATTAATAAAGTTTTTCTATATTGCTGAATGAAGATGTAAACTAATGCAATGAAACGCTGACGATAAGCAGAGGTTCATGTTCAGAGGGACATAACGAGTTATATTTATAGACTGTTGCAGGTCAGACGCCACCGTTTGGTTTTTACACAAAGTATTTGTCTGAGTCACTCAGCAAACTGTGACCTGCAGCATCCCAGACAAAAACATGAGAAACCTGATGCAGGTCCTTTCTGAGGAACGATGGAATATATTCATCAGACTACACGGGACTAATGTTCTCACACTTACCTGGAATAAATAATTGCCACATGAAAACATTGCTGAAATCAAATGAAACCAGCTTCTAAATCAGACACGCACAGCTGCTGTGCTCTCAATCAGAGAGCAAAACAATGTGCAGACCGGAGTATTCGCTGCTTCATCTTAAAGCTGGCGAATTTTGGAAAAGTTTTCCCATTTTCTATCTCAATTTTCTTTCTGCAGAAACTTGATTCTGTGCTGCATTTGTCAACTCTCACCTTATGAAATGACGGCAAATGTGCAGCTGCGTTAAGTGCACACTCACACCGAGACAAAAAGACAGCTGTTTGAACAAGCGCTATATTTTCTACACGTCTCAGACCGTCTAGACCTCCGAGGAAACCTTGAAATTAGTCCGACAGCGATTTGACAGAACAAAACATTTGTCATTTCAGCCTCCGACTGATAACGGGGTCCGTGTGCACGTCGGGTACAGTAAATTGCTTTCCTTTGAGAAACAATCACGACAACCTCTTGTGACACAGACGTGGTTACTGAACTAAGCAATCTAGCCAACTAATGTTCTTAGATATCATTACTGAACGATCTCACCAACTCTAAGCACTCAGTGAAAGCTCATAAACACGTCTGACTGAATAAAACGCGAATAAAACATTTAGTACCTGTGTGTTCGTGAGTTTAATACAAACACAACACCAGGAAATAGCCACATTCTTCTTTCAGTCACAAGAGTGTTGAAAACTCTTTATACTCTGCTTTATAGTCCAAAACTTAATCTACTGAAATGATAAGAGTATAATGATGTTTACAAATAAAACACACTAATGTGGAATATTCGCCTCGTTGTGAATGATCGTTTTGATCAACGTGTCCCTTAATGCATTCAAAATAACTGAAGGAACCACTAATACGACCTAAGGAAACGACCGAGGTTCCTAATCTGTTGCATGGAGCTCATCCTCTCCTCTTTCAGCGTCACAGATTGGTTATCAGAGAAGCCCACTCACGCTGTATGTGAATGAGCTGCTTTGGCATCTTGAACTCCCCGGGGTAGAGGGATTCGTAATAGGTGATGTCGCTCTCCGCCTCGGGCACCGGGATGACCATGTTGTCTCGCTTCTCGCCGTACACCTGCTGCGCCGAGATGGCCCGCTGGAGATGGTGTTCCTGCAGAGACAAAAGACGGAGGGGTTAGACACCTGAACCACTGAGTGTCTACGTTTAGCCTGGGTGGTTTTTACAGAAGATTTAGAAATGGTGACTGTAGAAACACGGAAACTACGAGTGGTGAATACAATGTTACAGAACGTGTTCTGGAGTATTTAAAGTTTAGTCTTCTTCCAACTACAAAAGCAGTTTAGAGCCACATGATTTTCTTCCAGTCTGCCACCCACAACCTGCACATCACCTTCAGCCCTCTCATGCGTTGGTCATATAGGTGACCACATGTTACAGCTGAGGACGCAGCAGCGCAGTGAAAGCTAACTTTGGCTCAGGCTCACTTTGGGGTGGGCTGTCCCTTTAAGGTGGACCGGCCATTCTCATTCTGGTGACAAACATTACTTCAAAACATAATTACTTCAAAAAGATAACATCCTCCATAAAAAGGATGCTAGTTGGTGCCTCACAGCTACCAATTATAGAACTAAATCTGGAACCAATATGAGGGCAATAAGAAGAGCTTAGAGCCGGTGTGACATGGTGTGGTGGTCTACAGTTTGATTCAGACACACTTGCACTAAAGGAATAAACTATAAAAGCATCTCGAAGAATCCAAGCAGCAGAATGACACAGATCATCCAGGCTAGTAAATTGTTCAGCGCTTACACGTCTGCCAAGTCTCCACAACCTACAGCACGGAAACTAGAGACCATCTCACAACATGCAAATCAAGCAAGGGCGTTAGTCGGGCGGCGTTGCTGGTCCGAGTACCATCCTCAAACATCCACTTCCAACAGGTGTCTCAATGACCACATTTTGACTTATAAGACACAGACAATAACAATACCAGCGTTGCCGTCACATAGTTTGTCAATCAAAGAGCACTAACAAATGTATTTTTCTCCAACTGTAAACCGCCTTGCTTGGTATGTCTCTGGGTCACAATCTAAGAAAGAACAGAAGTAATCTAAATGGGAACAAAAAGGTGTTTGTTTATGTTACGAGTTTGTTAAAAAGAACTCACGATTGGTCGATATGTCATTATTTGACTTTTAAACTCCAACATATCGACAGCTTCAATAATCCGGTATTGATGAGGATATGCTGTAGACCTGCATAGATATGATTGGACGTCACTCGTCAGCTAAAAGACAGCTATGAATGAGTAAATGATTTTGACGCATTAAACAGCTGATGATTTTATCAGAAATCCCTACAGAAGTCAACAGAAACTGCTGCAGAGTACATTTCTCTCTCTTTCTACCAGAAACACTGGCAACCGTCATCTTGGAACTCGTCCCGAGAGCTAAACAACAACCTGTTTGACTTTCATTTTGCCGTCTCAATATCCACAATAAGAGATTTAGAAAATAATGGACCCAGCTGTTGGTCCTTTAAAAAAGCAAAAGCCAAATCTTTACAAAAAGGGCTGCAACAAACAAATCCATCCAATAAACTAATCCGATCACAACATTGCAACACAATATTAAGCCTGCTAAACTCATATCGGCCTCATTTACCCGCCACAAGTGTGACGAGAGCTGCCAGGCCGGTTGACGGGTAATGTGCCGGAAGGCAGGCAGGCAGGCAGGCAGACAGGCTGCATGTCTGGCTGACTAACTGGTTTGCTGGCGGGCAGCTCGTGTGATCGTAGTAGTAGTAGTAGTACAGCCTTTGGCCTAGAGCTGGCCGCTGAGCCGCTGGCAGGCAGTCTGTCAACAAGGCAGCGTGCTGCAGCTCTCGGGTGGAGGAGGGGTGTGTTTATTGTTTCTCCTGAGGCCGTTGAGACACAGGGGAGTAGTGAAGGGGGGGGGGGGAGCTAGACACAGTGAGTGGGTCAAAAAGAAAGTATGTGAATGACTTTGAAAACAACACAGAAAACCACAGAAAACAACTGCAAAAACAAGCACTAAAAGTGAGTCTAACATGCATATCTTGTAGGATGATATGCTACATTAACTAGCATAGAAGAGCTTCGTTAGGATTCAACATGTGCAGTCGACGCTCAGTCTGAATTTGATTCTTAACTCCATGAAGTTTGTCAGGTTCACCTCAACCTGCGACTCCCCAAAAAACTCAATTCAGGGTCAGGGGATCGTTTCTATTTTCATATCGTGGTGATTCGACATCGCCGACAGGCAACAAGATCCCCAGAGGACAACGGAGGGGCTCAGGATCAACATCTGATGGAGCTTTTGGCACATCTCTCAAATAAATACAAGAAATATAGTATGAGTTACCTGATGAAACTTTCATAAAAAGAGTAGTTTCATCCATTTAATAGCAATGTCTCCTTAATTCAAACAAAGGCTTCATTTCAAAAGTCTTGTTGCAACAATATCACAGCTGCATGGTCCGTTTAATATGAGGTTATTATCTTTAATATCCATAACGAGGCTGTACTGAATAGTTTGATATTGGCATTCAAAGTATTAATAACTTAAAGAAACAGTGTGCATGTATTAATTTCCAAGTTCACATGTTCTTATCGAACAAACTTACTGCTTTAATCCATATTTCTTGGAGTTTCTAAAACATTTTTGCTGAGGTAAACAAACTCTGCCCTACTTACACCAGCAAGGCACACACCTGTATTAACAGGCGGTCTAGCTGCAATATAACAGCACCATAAATTATATATATAACAATAACAAACGTAAAAAAATAAAAAATAAAAAAAAAATCTTATTTTACTTTCGAAGCTTCATTTGAAAACCTTCGAATCAAAGCTTTGACAGTAATAATGACAAACTATAACAGCTATATGTATAACGTTAAACACATTAGTGGAGCGCAGAGCAAAGCTTAGGTGAGCAGGACAATGGAGAACAGAGACGAGGCATCAGATTTAAGGAAACCGGTAAACTGGTTTGTACTTCAGGATTATAAATTCCCTTGTGCCGATTATTAGGGCTCAGTGGGCGGACATGCCGCTCCACCAGATTCAAGATTACATTTTAGTTCTAATAGTAAGTAAGTTAAAATCGCCTTAATATCGACAATATACAATCCACCCACATCAAAGCCCACCAGCTCTACTGCGAGACACTACAGCTAGTGTCTGAATCTCAAATATCAAGGTCCCTCATCACACCGATGCCAAACATCCTGTTAATCCAACAACTGGAATTAAACACACAGATTAATAATGTATACAGAAGTATACCACTGTATGCAATAGGGTTGGCATATAGATCTGGACAGTATACAGCGTATAAGGCTTTGATGTGTTTCAGTCGGGACTATCAAACCTGCAGCTGCTCATGTATTACCTAGATTTGTATACGTTTATTCATCAAGCAACTCTAAAACCGTAATTCAGAAGGTACTATAACAGACCAGCACTATAGTAGCACCGTGTCCTGATAATAGTAGAATATATGCATTTAAACCAAGGGCTGATAATCGTGAGAAGCTCGTAAGAAAAATAATTATCCAAACTAAGAAAACATCCCAGAGTTGCTGACTCTTTTCTGATGAGAGTAGCCATCAGCACGAGCTCCACAAGACTACAGCTGTCCCCTCAGGCCTCTTATGACGACAGCAAACCAAAAACACGGCCATTGTTGGTACCAACAGCTGTCAAGCTACCAGTATGTTGACAGTCCGTTTTTGAAGATTGCCAACTCTATAACTGGAACTTTTCGGCAAAGGTCCGGTTGACTGAGTGGCCTCATAGATCAATATGCATTACTGTGACATTACTGTCAGCTGATTTTATAGGTCAGTTCTTGAAGTCAGCTGGATTTTAGTTTTAAGTTAAGCTTCTCTTGGTCCCACATGATGAAGACAAACTGTTTTCACAGAGTTTCATCAGTGTGTCGTTTCTCAGAAAGTAGAATTTATATTTAATTACTTGCTTTGGTTGAAAACTAATCTTGGCATCAGTAGTTTTCAGTGATACGTTTTATTCGCTGCTTTGAGTTAACGTTCAACAGGTGGATTCCCTCTAATATCTATTCTATGCTGGTGTGAAAACATCTTTAAACTATTGTATTTATTCAAGTTAACATCAAAACACGCCATGACTACGTTATAATTTACCCAGTACTCATTTTTACTGAATTGAAATTGTCAAAATGTCACCATTTATAAATAGCCAGACGCTGTAAAAGTAAACATTATTGGTAGATTTTCAACTTTCCGACAGTCCTTAAACACATCATGTGTGAGAAACGCTTCAGTCACGAAAAGCAACACAGTTGAAGGTTAAAATTGTGATTTCATCAGAATCACTTTGCTGTATCCAAAACCAACAGTTTGCACTAACCAGGTCCTGTATAATTATTAATTCTGTGCTTCTCATCATGGGAAACCAGGAGTGACTCGGCTGAGACCAACAGTAACAAACTCTGTGAACCTTTGACTGAACTGCAGGCAGCTGAACACAGAGCGGAGAGGGTTTAAAAATGCTATTAGTGCAAAAAATCAGTAATACTTGTCAGCACATGGAAAAATGTTCCATTGTTTTTTTGAGCTCTTACTTCATGATATTATTCTATAAAGGAGCAGGTCACAGTGAGAGAAACAACTCGGGGTTCAGGCGGTTAATTTAGTTGTTCCAAAAGTCTTACGGTTGTTCCTCCACAGCTTATTTTGGACTTGCAGTGGCATCAAGTAATAAAGCATAAAGCGTCACATAATTGTGCTCGTTTGCAACCCCAAAAATTCGTAAATATGAGACCAATCGGTTTGTTACCGGTCACGGACAAACAGCCGGTTTCTCCAATCATAATAATTACGTCACAATATGAAAACTATTTTGATTTTTACCCTATTTTGATAAAAACAGAGAAGCAGAAAAGTAAACTTTATGACGTGTGACCTTCAGTCTACCATCAATCTAACACTTTCTGTATCCGTCTCTTTATATTGTGTCCCAGAGCCCCGTGTTCATCAACACCATGTGGACCATGAGTTTGGTGCCCGAGGTTAATATTCTACACAGCATGTCACACCAGAGGCAAGTGATTCGTACTTTATGTTCATAGCGTCGTGAGCTCCGGCAATCTGTTCTGAGGACGAAGCCGTTTTACTCTCAGTGCTTCCCTCAGGCTTCTCCATATGACACTCTTAACACAAGTGCAGCATTTACTGTGGTGCCCCCCCCCCCCCCCCAGTCTGTGCAAGTACGCTTGCATAACCTTTATGTTCCTCTCACATTCCCACCAAAATCACTCCCCACGGCAAACCCCTAAACTTACGCATCAACGTCCTCAAACCTCTCCACAACTGAGGGGGAAAAAAAACCTTAGACACAAACAGCCTCGAGCAAAAAAACATGTTGGCTGTCAAATCTAATCAAGCAATGTGTTTGTTTACTTTCTGCTATTTGCCAGAGAATGAAACAGACTTAAATTGAGGTGAACAGTCAGAATACAGAGCATTAGCCGGTGCACACACAAACACAGAGTCTAGAAATAGCCTTTTAAAATGACCACATCCATCACTGTCGAGTCTGCTGAGGCAGCCAGAGCCTCCTCCACGTTTTCCCAGACACCGTAAATGCCTCTTAACACGATGGACCGCCGCAGGGACCGGTCGGAAAAAGGCCGTCGAGGGACGCGTGGTTGTATTACAGAGCGGTTTGGATGCACCGCGTGGGAGCGGGTGGTTTTGAACGTGCGGTGTGTGACTGGGATATGAAAATCAAACATCACACACTAGAATGCGCTAAGCTCTGCACAGAGTTACAGAGCGTGAATTGAGAAACTTTTCCATTACACAATACTGCTGGTAAACCAAGATAAGAAAATATGGTTTAGTATTTTTCCCCTCAAACCTTGAGCACGGGCCGGGCCCACTGTTGCATAACAATGAAGGGAAACCGATTACTCACAAACGGGGACCATCCCAAAGAGTCTTATCCAGCCGAGGCTCGTCTATAAATGTTGGGTTAGATTCAAGATCCTGTCTGGAAGCCGGTGTTTATTTCCCACAGCTGACAAAAAAGTTACTTTCAGTTTCACGGCACACATGCTGCAGAGACTTTGGACAGGTGACATGTGTCCCACATTCCCACCCAGCGAGGTCACACACTGCTGACACACTGGCGGAGCTGCCAGAAATGTGTGTGTGCACGCACGCGTGTGTCCCGGTTAGTGCCCGTGTCTGTCTGGCAGAGAGGCAACCCAAACACATCCCTGTGGGTTCCCACCAGGGCCACAGACACTGACCTCACTTTCACCCAAATGTAAACACGAGACAAAAGTGACAAAAGTGGGCCCAAAACAAACAAGCCGCACGTGCCGAAGGGAGTTTCGGCGATGACGGCTCTCCGGTCAAGCCGCACGCACACGCACACACACACAGCCTGTAAATTACTAAACCACATGCTGGACTGAGCGATGGTTTTAAAGTACAATAATGCAAAAACACAACGATTCAAAACAATACTCCCATCTAGGATTTACACTAGACGGTGGGGGGGGGGGGGGGGGGGG